CAGGCTGAGGGACTCCCTCTGCCCCCCACCCTGAGTGCATGAATTTTGTGCACCAGGCCTCTAGTCTAAAATAATCACAAAGAGGAGATAAGAAGGTAAATGCCACATTCCTATATAAAGGCTTATTGCTTAAATACAAAATCAAAGATTGTTTCAGATTATTAAATTAAAATGTAATTTGAGACTAAGATTTCTTAGTCTCATTTCTTGCTTAATCCTTGATAATTTTTAAAATTATTAGAGAAACAAGGAAAAGATATTAAGGAACAGTTTAGAAAATAACAATAATTTCTTAGTAGTATTTTCCTTTTCTGTAAAATTAAAGTCTCTATGAAAATAAAGCTGGCATTTTATGTAAGAAGTTTACAAATCCATTTAAATTGATCTCATTTAATCAGAGAGGTTAAGTAATTGCTCAACAAAACACAGCTACTAAATTCAGGAACAGTATGAAACATGTAGGTCTTTTGATTTCAAACCCCAATATCCTTTACTACCAATACCTTCCAGGGGCTGAGTTCCAGGACAGGAGGTATGACAGAACACCACATCACAACCATGAGAAATCATGGAATAATATGATACTGAGTGTAAATACTGTCCAGCCCTTCATGGTGTTCTTAGGCTATTCCAGGTAACTGTTCAAATGAGACCATTCATTGTTTTGGGAGAATGCTTAAGAAGCAAAATTGTATATCTCAGAGTAGTCAAAGCTGAAAGATCAAGTAAGTGTGCTGAAACTGGTAAGGGATATAAAGTCCCTTATCTCTTAGCAGATAAAAGAAAATGCAAAGAATAGGCTGAAACTACAAACCAATGTCTCTAATAAATATAGTCTCAAAAACCCTTAACAAAATATAAGCAAATAGAATTTAGCAACATATAAAAAGAATTATACAGCATTACTAAGTGAGGTTTATTCTAAGAATGTATTAAAAAAACAATTTAGCCCTAACCAGTTTGGCTCAGTGGATAGAGCCGTGATGGCGAACCTATGACACGCGTGTCAGAGGTGACACGTGAACTCATTTTTTTGGTTGATTTTTCTTTGTTAAATGGCATTTAAATATATAAAATAAATATCAGAAATATAAATCTTTTTTTTACTATGGTTGCAAATATCAAAAAATTTCTATATGTGACACGGCACCAGATTTAAGTTAGGGTTTTTCAAAATGCTGACACGCCGAGCTCAAAAGGTTCGCCATCACTGGGATAGAGTGTTGGCCTGGGGACTGAAGGGTCCCTGGTTTGATTCTTGTCAAGGGCACATGTCTAGGTTGCAGGCTTGATCCCAGTAAAGGGTGTGCAGGAGGCAGCCAGTCAATGATTCTCTCTCATCATTGATGCTTCTATCTCTCCCTCCCCTTTCCTCTCTGAAATCAATAAAAATAGATATTAAAAAAAAGAAAGAAAAAAGCGCCCTAACCGGTTTGGCTCAGTGGATAGAGCGTCTGCCTGCGGACTGAAATTCCCAGGTTCGATTCTGGTCAGGGGCATGTACCTTGGTTGCAGGCACATGCCCAGTACTGGGTGTGCAGGAGGCAGCTGATCGATGTTTCTCTCTCATCGATGTTTCTTACTCTCTATATCCCTCTCCCTTTCTCTCTATAAAAGGTCAATAAAATATATTTTAAAAAAAAGAAAGAAAAAAGCAATCAATATAATGTAAAATATTAACAAGCTAAAGAAAAAAATCATATGGTCATAGTAATCATTTAACAACATTCAACATCAAGTAATGATTTTTAAGACTCAGAAAAATAAGAAAAAAAGAGGAACTTCCTCAACTTAATAAAAAAGAATATCTACTAAAAATGTATAGCTAACATTATAGTTAATGGTAAAGGACTGAATGCTTCTCTCCTATCACCAGGAATGAAGCAAAGATATCTACACTGGCCACTTGTATTTAACACAGCATCAGAAGTTCTAGCCAGTATAATAAAGCAAGAAAAAACAGCAACAACCATACAACCATACAGTTTGGGAAGGTTGAGGTCAATTGTCTTTATTCAATGATCTAATAACTGCCCACATGGAAAAACCAAAGGATTCTTAAGAAAAATTAAAATAAACTAATAAATGAGTACAGCAAGACTACAGAATACAAGAATTTTTTAAAAAATCAATCACATTTCTATATGCTAGCAATGAACATGTGGAAGCCTAAATTTAAAAAATACTATTAATAATGGTTCAAAAAACTGATATACTTAGAAGTAAGTCTAAAAAACATATACAGGACTTGTGTGCTGACACCTATAAGACACAGATGAAAGAAATCAAAGATCTAAATAATGAAACAGACATATAAGGGTGAGGTGAAGCAGATTTACAGTTGTGAGTACATTAGGGTTTATTCTTATCTTATTTATTAATTATTGTATTACTTTCCATATGAACAACTGTACACATACTTTTGCCCTTCCCTGTAGTGTTCATGGGTTTGTGGGTTCATGTAGAAGATTCAACATAGTAAAGATGTCGATTCTCTATAAATTGATATATAGGTTTAACATAATCCCAGCATAATTTTTTGTAGGTATAGAAAAAATTATTCTAAAATTATGTAAAGACAAAGGAATTAGCTAAAAGAGTTTTGGAGGAAAAAAAGTAATGTAGGAAAAATTCGTCTGCCTCATTTCAAGACATCATCTAATGTTATTAAAACTACTAGAGGCCTGGTGCACGAATTCATGCACGGGTCCCTCGGCCTGGCCAGTGATTGGGGCCAATCAGGAGGGCCGGCCGGCCAGGGGGAGGGACCATTGGCAGGGGGAGGGACTGTGGAAGATTGGCTGGCTGGCTGAGGGGAGGGACCACGGGATGTTGTCTGGCTGGCCCCCTGATTGGGGCCAATGGGATAACCAGCCAGCCGGGGGGAGGGACCTCAGGAGGTTGGCCAGCTGGCTGAGTGTCTGCGGGAGGTTGGTTGTGCAAGTGCACTGACCACCAGGAGGCAGCTCCTGCGTTGAGTGTCTGCCCCCTGGTGGTCAGTGCGCGTCGTAGTGACCAGTTGTTTAGTCGACCGGTCGTTCAGTTGCTTAGGCTTTTATATATATATAGATGTGGCTTTAGGCTGATAGAATAGAGAACCCATAAAAGATTCATACAAATACGCCCAATTGGTATCGGATAGGTTCAAAAACAATTCAATGGAGGAAAGACAGTCTCCTCAACAAATGACCTACTGTAACTGGACATCTGTAGACAAAAATCCAAACCTTGTCCTAAGGTTCACACCTTATAAAAAAATTAATTCAGAATGAATCATGGACTTAAATGTAGATCAAAGAAGTATAAAACTTTTAGATAAAAAAAATCTGTTGAGATCTAAGGTTAGACTTGGCACCAAAACCACTATCTATAAATGAAAACTTGCTAAAGTAGACTTCATCAAAATTAAAAACCCTATTAAGAGGCTTAAAAAGGCAAGCTACAGACTGGGAGAAAGATTCAAAAGTCACATATCCAACAAGGGACTAATACCTAGACTATTTAAGGCACTCTCAAAACTCAACAGTAAATAATCAGGCAGTTCCTCTAAAGGTTAAACATGGAGTTATCATATGACCTAGCAATTCCACTCCCAGGGAATGAAACATGTCCACATAAAGACCTGAATGTGAGTGTTCACAGCAGCATTATTCATAAAAGCCAAAGAGTTTAAAATATGAATGGTCACCAACTGATGAATGAATACATGAATCTATCACAATTTATTGATGAAAAAATAATGGTGATACATTCATACAATGGAATATTAATCAGTACTACAAGGGAATGAAGTACTAAGTAAACGCAGCCAGTTACAAAATACCACCTGCTGAAATGTCCAGAACAGGCAAGTCTAGAGACAGAAGAACATTTGTGGTTGCTTAGGGCAGCGTAGACTGGGGGAAGAGAGGAGTGACATGGGTAGGGTTTCTTTTTGGGTGATGAAAATGCTCTGAAATGGATTGTGGTGACAGCTGTACAACTCTGTGAATATGCTGAAAACCACTGAATTATACATTTTAAAGACAAATTTGATGGCATGCAAATTATATTGTAATGAAGCTGTTTTTAAAAGTTGTCTTTCTAACAATTCCAGATTAGCCAAGGAATTCATACCACTTCTGTATATTTCCTTGGTACCTTTTCTGTAGCGGAAGGAAACAAAACAAAACATCTAGCCAGCCGTATAGTTAATGGTAAAAGACTGCATGCTTCTCTCCTATCGTCAGGAATGAAGCAAACATATCTACACTGGCCACTTGTATTTAACACAGCAGCTTGATCTAGTTCACCTGTCTGCTTTCAATTAGGTTCCTTTCAATGTGATAATTATCTGACTTCATATCTAATTCCTTCATAGACAGAGATGTTATACACTTTCTGGGCAATGCATTTCAAGTCTTTTACATTGATCCAGAGACAAATCCCTCTTTTGTCATCATTCTTCTGCCCACCGCCAAATTTTAAGCAAGCTAATATTAAAGATAAATAAATTTAAATTTTTAAATAGTCCTCACTTTCTATGTATTTTTCCTCTTTTAGCATAATAATGTCTAAATCAGCTAAAGCAAGAACGTTGAAAGGGTCCAGTAAAAATGTAATTTACTTCAGCTTTATTTTTTTGTTTTTCCCAGATCTTAGTGAAAAAGTCAATATATTTTGTATCCATGTGTGTACACACACACATAAAGAAATAGAGCCCATTTTAATGTTTGTTTTGGTACTTTGTGTCTCTTCCTAATTTTGGTGGATGTACAGGGGTGAGTAAAAGTAGTTTTACAGTTGTGAGTATGCAAAACAGAATCTATTCTTGTATTATTATTTATTAATTGTATTATTTTCCATGAAAACAACTGTGAACTTATTCTTGCTCACCCCTGTATTGTATTTTTTTAAAATGTATTTTGTTTGCATCCCGTAAGTTAAAAGGATTTAAGAGTCTTGATCTACCTTTCTTTTAGTTCTTAAAAATGGAACCTTGTGATTCCCATTTGTTCTAGCCGGAGTCTCAGCGGAAGCCATGCAGACCATCACCACTGCTCCCGACACCGCCTCGGGGCCCGAAGCCAAAGTCCAGGAGGACGAGCATGACCTTGCAGAAGATGACATCACAACTGGTAGGGAGACGTCTTTAACATAATCTGGACGAGGCTCGTCCAGTATTGGAAAGTGCTTGTCTGTCTTTTATAGCGGGACTAAGTATGTTGATGGAGAGGATGGAAACTGGTATTGATGGAGTGTTTGGCTTTACAAGACTCTTTAGTGTCCTTTTTGATCTTGAAGTGGAAAGAAGTGGAACCATTTATTTGGTCTGGGTTTGCTCATTGTTGCTCTAACAATGAACCTGCTAGCTGTGCATTTGATTTTCTGGGGACCTTCTAATTCAGAGGCGAGGCTCATTTCTAAAGCCTTGGAACATGTAGAGGAATACACCTATTATGTTATGAAAGGTTTTGCAATTATAGGGTAAATTGAAGCTATTGAAGTTGTAATAGCAATATATGCAATATGGACGGCATACGGAAACTTACAGATACTCTTTTTTATGTATGCTACAGAAATAAATGCTGCTTTTAAAAGTTATTTACATTCTTATCTGTATTATTTATCACCTTACCAGGCATAAAGTAAAATTTAGAAAAGCCATATAGCACATATTTTCAGCCTGTCTTTTTATAGATTTAAACGGTTCCAATTACTGGATCTTCAAATGCATTCAACTCAATTTTTTTTAATGCACAGAGGATAAAAAACAATCTAGTATAGATATTTTTATTGGTATTAAGAATGATAAACTTTTGCTTTTGGTATGGATGGTTAAAATGTAAAATCTGACGACATATGTCTATAATTATCGTGAAGCAACAAATATTAACTCAATAGTAATCAATAATTTGAGAAGAAGCATGCCCAGAAAATATCAGTGAACTTTCCAACAGAAATTAAAGGGAGAAAGGAACAAAGGGGAGGTTTATTTTGTTTTTCTTTTAAAGCTCTGAGTGGCAGTTTCCTTACTGTTAGCACCTGAATGCCTTTAAAATTGCTTCACTGGGAAGAAGGTGAGGGAGCCTAATGATCTCCCTTGAAAATTTACAAAGCCTGTATTACCTTAAAAACCCATGTTTGTGTCACTGCTGCAAATACGGAGTTGACTAAGTTGGGGAGCATCTGGTTTTCAGTAAAAATGAGAGGATGTTGGTTCTTTTTGCTTCTTACTTTTTAATGTTACTAATTCATTGATATTTTAAAAATCATCTACCTTAAATATAAATTATTTTAGAAACTTTCGCCTCGTCTGAAAGTCATTTGCACTTCACAAGTATGAAATTTGTTTCAGTAGCTACTAAAGGAAATTGTTTCATTTGCAAGTTTTTAAAATCATTTTTTATTTTATTCCATTTTTATTGCTTTTTAAAATGCTGTTAGAAATGTTTTGTTATATATTAATTCCTATAAATTTTAAAGGCCTTCTTGTATAAAAAAGTAGTGGTTTAATTCACAGGAAAAAAGAAGAGGTTACCTTTGCAATAGTAGAATAATTCAGTTTGCATTCTGAATAAAAGGTAAATTTTTGAGCACTCAAACAATACTAAATCAATACATTGAAATTTTGAATTATGCACTACCAAAGTCATAAGATTGCATTATAACATGTGACTGTTTTTGTCTGATTGCTGAAACATATCAAGAAGCTTAAAAATGAAAATCTAGTGTTGGAGAGTAAATTAATGCTACACGAACTGTCTTTGAACCTGTCTGAAGTTCAGTTAAACATGTGTGATGAATGGCTTCTATCAGTTGATTTATTCATTTCATGCCATGGGTACTAGAACAAGAATGTTCAAAATCCAGAGAATTTAAATAACTGAAAAAGGGTTCCCTTACCATGTTGTCAAAGCAACTAGTATGCTGCAGTCTGCAGATCGTGCAGGTTAGATTGTGTGACTTGATTAAGATGTGGTATAGATTTTTATGAAGGTTTAGAAGAAAACCATATTTCTTTTTATTGACTAGAGTCCTATATAAATTGCATTATGAAAAATATGGTAGATGCATCAAGAGAAAACTGTTCTAAGCATAATAATCTTATTTGGGGATAACCAGCATTGTAGAGCACAAATACAAAAGGGAAAACTGGTCAGCTTAGTCATTCACGTTGAAAAATCTGATTGCTTTTTCAGTTATTTAAAAGAAATTGCTCTAATAATATCGTCTCATGAAATAAATAGAAATTATATCATGACAGAGATCTTTGCCTGTATTTTGAATGGATTCTTATTTGGAGACTACAGTTAAGCTAGTATGTATTATTGTATTCATTATATATTTGTAGTAATCTGGAACTTAATTTTTCAATTAACTTAATTAAACAACTGGCCAATATACCAATTAAAATACGAAGTATACCTAGTGCTTTTGCTATAAGAAGAATAGTCATTTTTGAAATTTTTCTTTTGGATGAGGAATTGAAGGAAGTATGAATGTGGTCTTGTGACACTGGGATCTGAGTCTAGCAGTCTTTGTGTTGCTTATAAAAATAAAGATCCATGGATAAAACTGTGTAAGTGTTAGCTGTAGTCAATTGGAACTAATTAAATTTATTTGAAATGAAGAATCTTAACTGGAAGAGGACAGCTGGAAAAACTGGGAAGAAAAAATTGAGTCTTGATTGAGACAATTTAAACCTTCTCGCTGTCATTTAAAGAATATGCTGCAGCTCCTTTCTATATCTTTTTTTAAAGCTAATATCTATTGATCGGCTTTACAAAGTAATGCCACAGTGTGCCTCAGTCAACGCATACACTCGGTTTTTCTTAGCATTCTATCTGAGGATCATCAAGTTCTTTCCTTTAACCACATGTCTTAATAACACGTCAAAGCTATACTAGTTATTTTTGCAGATTAATATTGTTTTTAATGTAGAAAGATATTAAAACTTCTTCCATTCTTTATATTGTATAGTATGCATGGTAATGTACTTTCTTTTTCAATGAAATTGCTTCAGGTTTTGCACTACTTTATGTAAAATCAGTTTTAACAATAATAGTATTTTCTTTAAAGTTAAATGAATGGCATTAAGATTGTTTCTAGATTATTTCAGAGTCACAAGACTATTACTCTAAACCCATGGGGTTTTTTTTTTCATATGAATACTTTTATTTTTAGAATTGTAATTTAAATGTTTCTATAGAATAACCTATCATCAATATTTGTAAATAATATGTTCTTATTTTCACTACAATATTAATAGGTTATAATTATATTAATGGGATAAATCTCACTAAAAAATGACTTACATAGAAAAAAAATTAGATAAATCATAATCTATCTTTTTAAGGTAGACCTTTTAGGTAACTTTGTTAATTATCCTTATGTATTTTTCATCATTGTAAAGGATGGCATTCTGTGTAAGGATGAAGCTGTACATCCCTAAATGTTGCATTTTAAAACAACCTCCCCCTAAGTGCAGGTTAAAAGAAGGGTTTCATTCACAAACCTGCGTGGATCCATTTAAGAAAGTCACTATATTTTTCTGAGGGTCATACTGCAGTGTCTTGCCTCTTGTTCAATGTTGCAAGGACCCAAACTGACCATATAACAGTGATAAAGGGTCAGGAGTCACTGACATTGTCAAAGAGAGACAACTTGATAGCAAATGACCAGCACAGTTGATAGATTCAACTGTTTACAACAAAAGCAGATATGGATCTAGATATGGGTCTGTTGTATTTTTTGTAAAATTTAAATTTATTATTTTAAAAGGTGAGAAGTGCTATGGATAAAAGAAAAAAATAGGAAAGGTTAAGAGAAATGGAAAGTTACATCTATTGATAATTTACAATATCCAAGCACTTAACACTCGACTCTGGCAGCATTTCTCTAAAGTGGATACCTGTATTTTCCCAGCTATGTCGGTGAGGAAACCAGCCCGGAGAGGTCACTTTTATAAGGTCCCATACTTAACAAGTGATAGATCTGGGACTTCAAATGAGTTCTGCCTGATTCCAAAGCTTATGTGTGGTCTTACGCACCACCCCACCCTGCCTCACATTCTTAAACTCCTTAAACTTTGGCAGATTTTCATTTTCTTTTGAAATGTAAGGTGATGCCAGAGTCTACCTTTATTGTTATGACATCAGGCATAAGCCTGGAATTTGCTGGATGTCTTATCTTAATATTTAAAATGCAAACTTGTTATTGAAATGTGGACCACAGATTATCTTCTTTAGAGACAAAAAAATCTCACATATTTGTTCCTTAAATTTTTAGCCATTATTTCAGACTACTGTGATATAAAACTGTAATATAAGTAGTGTTTATTACTAAACAGTTATTTTATTGCATACATATAAAGTGAAATATTTATTGTTCTGTCTAGCTTTTGAAGTCATCAGTATAAAACAGACATCTTAACATATATTCATAACTAAAAGTCAACATCTTTAGTGTGTTAAGATTGAGCTGACAAGGACATCTAGTCTGAGACTGAGTATTGATTTGTACATTTTACCATTTACTAAAAGCTTTATTCATAAAATGTTTATACATTTGTTTTGGCTGAAAGATAGGAAATTCATTCTGTTAAAGTACATATAAGTTTCAAAGAGCAAAATTTATGACATTATGTATTCAGAAATCAGAAGTACTTTCTAAGCAGAGAGCCAGGGGCCTTATAATTAGTAAACTAGAGCAAAACTTCTACACTGCACCCTTTCCCTTTCTCACTCTTTAATTTACAATTAACAGCCTAAAATTTAATCTAACTAACTCACAGTTAGATCTGTGTGAGTTTTGAATTGTGATCACTCCCCTTACTTTTGCCTTCAGAATATTAGCTACTACAAAATATAAATTTACTATATAAAGGTTTTTGTATAATTACAAATCATGAACACTGGTTTATGTTCCATGTAGTTTTCATGAACAAAGATATTAAGAAAAATAAAAGTGTGGATTTTATAGTTTTCTGGGTGAAACATATCACTCCAAATAATTTACCTTTTTCTACCTTTTTCAATCTAGGGGAAGACAATGTAAATTAAAATAATTTTTTGTTTAGTGTTTGACTCTTGGTTCTAGTTGTATGTTGACAAGCTGTTAAGTAGAATATTTCTGC